ATTTGATTCTCCATTATAGTAGTAGGTACCCCTAATTTTGGGAAACCCCCAAATGGTTGACAGTCTCGAAACACCGGCCCAGTCGGCCCGCATGCTGCCCTGAATCCTAAAACCCTGGCACGCCCAGACCCTAAACTTGCTGGAGGCTTTGTAGGGTTTAGGGGTTTAGGGTTTAGGGTTTAGGGTTTTTAGGGGTTTAGGATTTAGGGTTTGGGGAATTAAGGGATCTAAAACCTTTTTTGCAATTCTTGTATAATTTAGTCCCTTATGCCTACCCTAAACCCTAAACCCTGTAATTTATTCTCTTCTTCCCTACTAGCCACCAGGAAGTAGGCCTTGTACTGGATAGGAACAAGAGCAGAGTTTTTGGGTGCAAAGTCTGGACCCAGGCTATTCTCCTGCCATCGGTGACTGCAGAGACGTCCCTGAAGGCTGTAGGGTTTAGGGCTTAGGGATTATCGCGTTTAGGGATATGGGATTTGGGTTTAGGTTTTAGGGTTGGAAGATGTATTGCATTCCATTCACGCCGTCGGCCTGACTTTGATCCTAGGGATCCAAGTATGCAAATGAGATTTACATTGGCCCTAAAGTTGGTAATATTGCCTACATTGGGTTATGTGGTAGGGAAGGGCTTGCAAACATGATTAACCCACGTCTGTCGGTCTTTTGGATGTGATATTTGGAAGGAAAGTCAGGTCCCCCCAACATAGACAGGTTGGCTGCAAGCCTCTTTGGGCTCCTTTCCTTTCTCTACCCCAATATCTGAAATAGGGGGACCCCAATATAGACCCCAAAATACTATAATTGTAATAGGAACCCTTAAAGAGGTACCCATAACTTGGGGATACCACTATATGGAACTTCTGAAAAGGAATCGACAGGCCCCGGTCCTTTTGCAAGCCACCTATATGCACAAATGGAGGTCTCTAGGTCCCCTTTTTAAAGCCCCAACCTTGTCCCAAATGGTCATAACTGTACTCCCTAGTATAACATTGCAAAGAAGCCCAGAAAGGGACCCCTAATCTGGTTTTTGTAGGTGTTGTAGACCTTACAGGGTTCTGTGTCCGTCGAGCCTTGCGCCCCCAAACCCTGAGACCTAAGGGGCCTTTTGTAGTTTAGTATATATACTCCTTAATATAGTCCCTGGTAATGAACCCATGTCCATTAATTATATGGAAATATTGACTGTAGCTCAGATGCCTCTGGGCGCATGGGTTTCCTTACATTAATTACTGCAAAACGATCTATTTTCAATCCAGGGGTATACAGATTAAGTAAGGGTTAGACCCCTTTGTACAGCTCCCAGAAGCCTGCATAGCCCATATGCTCCGTATATCCTGTCCCTCATATTATAATATAGTATAGTATATTATATTATACTATAATATATTAAAATATATTATATTATAGTACAATATACTATAATATACTATAATGTATTATAATATTATAACATACTAAAGTAAGACTTCCTTGGGAAGGAGCGCATGACGGCAGCAGCAGCTGCGGGCGTGGCCAAAGCACGTGCAGGTGTGCTGAACACCTCCAGGACCCAAACATCCCTGAAGGATCCAAAACATGGAACCCTCAAAAATATTCCCGTTTAGGGTTGGGGTTTAGGGTTTAGCGTGTACTACATCGGGGAAACTACTTAAGGGACTACTGGGAGGTTTTATTTTTTGGATCCTTCTGGGGGTCTGGGACGCTTCGCGCCTTCAGGTTGATACGGTTCACACCCTAAGCGTCTTGGACCTTTGGATTTTTGGTGTATGGATGGTTGTCAAAATTATGGTCCCTTTTTGGATCCCTATCATAATACGGCACCTAATATTTAGGGTACCCAAAAAGGGACCATAATTTTGACAACCACCCATGTATTAGGCAAGGC